ACCTCCATATCTCTCTGAAAAAGCACTTTATGGAGTCTATAGAGCAAGAGAGGACCTTGGAAATAAATATGTATTGCCCTCATATCTCAAGTGAGAGAAAAGAGGCAGAGCGATCTGTAATGTTACCTGAGGTGACAGACAAAGTGACGTAGCCAGTTTGCAACCCAGGTCTTTGCTTTCTGTGGCACGCCTCTCTCCATTGCCTCATGACACTTTTAAGACTGCTGATTCCAGATGCCCAATATAAAGCAAGTTCTTAAAAGGGCAAATTGGCAGAATAAAGAGATTATTAAGAAAAAGAAAAAGTACTAGAAGTGCCTCAAAAATCACCACTTTTGTATCAAGCATTACCATGTATGGGTTTCAGGAGTTTTTGGAAAGGAATAAGTAGGTTGTAGTGGGAGCATGTCTTTAGAGGACATTGTAACATTGGTTTAGGATGCATAGAGTGGCAAGATAATAATGTTTATCATGGCCTAATAAAGACTTTTGGGGACATCTTCTTTAGAGAGCTCCAATAGTTTCACTTGCCCAAAAAGATAAGAATTAAATTAAAAACAAACAATACCTGCATCTGTATTAGTTTGTTAGGGCTGCTATAACAAAATACCGCAGACTGGGTGGCTGAAACAATAGAAATTTATTATTTCACAATTCTGGAGGCTGAGAGTCGAAGATCAAGGTGTCAACAAAGGTTGACTTCTTTGAGGCCTCGCTCCTTGGCTTGCAGATGGCTGTGATCTCCCTGTGTTTTCTTTCCTCTGTATGTGTCTTTGTCTTAATCTGCTCTTCTTAGAGGACAGCATCCTGTCCTCTAATATAGGATTTTTTACTTCAATTAACTTTTAAAAAAAAATTTTTCTATTATAGTTGTCCCAGTTCCCCCATTGCCCACTCCCACAGTCACTCCCCACCCTGTCGTCCATGTCCGTGGGTCATTTATACCTGTTTGTTGATTAAATCCTTCCTTCTCTTTTCCCCCTTATCCCCATCCCTGCTCCCCTCTCGTAGCTGTCAGTCTGTTCCTTGTTTCTATGCCTCTGATTCTATGTTGCTTGTTTGTTTGTTTCGTTCATTAGGCTCCTCTTATAGGTAAGATCGTATGACATTTGTCTTTCACCACCTGGCTTATTTCACTTAGCATAATGCTCTCCAGTTCCATCCATGGTGTCTCGAAGGGTTGTAGCTCCTTCTTTCTTTCTGCTGCATAGTATTCCATTGTTTGAATGTACCACAGGTTTTTGATCCACTCAATTACCTTTTAAAGACCCTATCTCCAATACAGCCACACTCTCAGATACTTACTAGGTATTAAGGCTTCAACATATGAGTTGGGGGGTACCCATAACAATATCTATGTCTGTGTCTATGCCTATGTCTGTCTATGTCTATGTGTCTATGCCTATGTCTGTCTATGTCTCTGGCTATGTCTATGGCTATATCTGTGTTTATATCTGTGTCATCATTTTTGGGTCTTATTTGAACTTGAAATAATAATAGTGAGAACTCCAAATCCTATTGTGTGACAATGGAAGCATACATATTCCAAATCTAATTTCCCCAGCTTAATTAGCATGCTGCCTGTTAGCACAAACTTATTAGGAATGAGCATTCTCACAGTCACCCGTCACCTAATTTTCGGGCTCTTGAGACCCACTGCTCCATTAACGCTGGGAAGGGTGAGTACAGCTGGAATAAGTCCCCAAGCCGCTGGCTGGCTGTCAGAAAGCCCATGCGGTGTCAGATCTGAAAGATGCACTATGGGCAGCAAGAAGGAAGCTTGCACTCTGAGCACTCCCCTGGCTTCAGTCTCTTGATTCTCTTTGTGGCATGTATGAAAGTCTGGAACACTTGTCTGTACACAAGAGGTGCAGACCTGAATGTGGGGCAGTTATTCACGCCTTCTAAATGGGCAGGCTGTGAGAACCTAGAACATGCATAATTTTCTATTATTCTGTTTTTTTTTTTAAAGAAATCACATTTGTCTAAAAATTTGGCACATTCCAATACTCCTTCCTCCCCCTTCTTCCTTTCCTGCCTTATCTCCCTGTCTCAATTATTTATAGTGAGGGTCTGCTATGCACAAGGTACTCTGCAAGGTCCTGTAGGAGATCCAAAGATGACTCAGCGGAGCTCTGCTTTTGGTTATGTTTTCAGGCCTTGATCTGCTAGTTCTTGGCACTTTAGTGAACAGCGTCGAGTTGAGATCTTCCAAACCCTGAACACTCCTCCCTGTGGAACTGACAGCACCCTTACCTGGGCCCTTAGCCACCTTCCCACACCTTCTCCCCCTCAGCCACTGGCTCCTGACCCCACGGGCCCATGATGATCATTGGCTTATCTTGCCTCCCAGGCTGCTTTCTTTTTCCCTTTTTCTGATTCCTCCCACTTTTGCCTCTTTCCACGTTGACTCTTTTCCTGATTCCCACTGATCATTTCCAATGAGCCAGCTTAGTGTGAAAAAAATAAATGTTCTAATGATCTGCTTCTTCTTTATCTACTATTACTTATTCCAGGGAACAAAGATATTGAGGGTAAAAAGAAGTCATCCTAAGTTCATTTGTCCTCTTCTGTAGCCCTTGTCTCCTCCTAAAGTTACTTCCCAACTACTGAACATTAGGCAGTATATTTTCATTTGGTTTTTAAAAAGATTTTATTTATTTATTTTTAGAGAGAGGGGAAGGGAGGGAGAAAGAAAAGGAAAAAAGCATTGGTGTGTGAGAGATACACTGATCCATCGTCTCTTGCACACCTCCAACTATGGACCTGGTACGCAACCCAGGCATGTGCCCTGACTGGGAGTCGAACCAGTGGCCTTTCAGTTCACAGACCAGCACTCAGTCTACTGAGCCACACCAGCCAGGGCTATTTATTTTTAAAGTAAGGAGTGGGAAGGGTATAGAGTATAAAGAGTGAGTTTCCACAATGTGATTTAAACTTTATCCACAGGTCAAAAAATGTTAAAAATTTTATATCTGGAAGAGAATTGAAAGCAGGCACACATTCTACTTGAAAATTTACTTTCTACAACTTAATGTAGCTGGGAAGAACTGGTCAGACCTACTTTTTTTTTCTTTTTCTTTCTTTTTTTTCTTTTTCTTTTCTTTCTGTCTTTCTTTTTTTAATCATATAGACACAGCCAGAGTGTGTGTTTTCCTTCCATACCTGCCAACTCCTGGGAAGACAGCCTCCCTCCTCTCCTGCTAATCAAATTCATGCCCCAGGAAAAGTCCCACCCTCCTGTGAGGGCTACCTGGACATCCACAGCTCCTTGAAGTGCAGCTTCTAAACCACTGTTCTACCCCAGCAACAGCAAAGTCATGTCCCTAATAGGGTCTCAATAGAAGTGTGGGAATTAACAAATGAGGAACTTCCTCCAGCCTCCTATAATCATTTCCCTGCTAAACGCCAGTGTGTTTAGTGTCTGTACAACTCATTAAAAAATTAACGTGCCTCTGACATTGTTAATTAGCCCCCTTAAGACGGAATGCTTTATCCTTTCCACCCAGATTGCCAGCTCCTTGAGGAGAATGACAGTGTTTCATTTTTTTCTCCATATTTCTCTCTATTGCCTAGTGCAGAGATGGTGCACACATGTATTGATTTGTACCCTGTTCCTTTCTGCTTGACGGCAGTGTCTGTTGGGAACCACATTTAGAAAACCAGTTTAGCAGAAGCCACAACTTCATTGGAAATACATCTATACAAGGAGTCTGCCCTCCATGCAGTTGAAATGGAGAGAGAAATTTTTATTGGCCAGTTGGTGCTTAGTTTGGATTCAGCCACATTTATGAAGCAGTTGCTCTGCACCTGACACAGCCAGGCAATGCTCTTGACTCCCACTTTGTTGCTCACCCCTGATTCAGGGATAATGCTTGTCCTCACCAGATGCCATAGTTGACCAGCAGGCAGGCAGTGTACACACTTCCAGACACCCGGCCTTTGCGGGCGGACCCTCTACTTACCTTGTCTGTACACAAGAGGTGCAGACCTGAATGTGGGGCAATTATTCACGCCTTCTAAATGGGCAGACTGTGAGAACTTAGAACATGCATAATTTTCTATTATTCTGTTTGTTTGCTTTTTTTTTTTTTAAAGAAATCACATTTGTCTAAAAATTTGGATGGAGCCAGATTGCTGCCTCCTCCTCCCCAACCCTTGGTCACCCTCTGGGAGCCAGAACTGATTTTGCAGCAAGTTAGGTAACTTGACTCCAAGAAGTCAGTACTGTGGCTTTTCAGGAAATGTCAAACTTACCTGCTTAAGAAATAATGTGCAAAGGGGAAGTGAACTCTGGCAAGGCTACTAATAGGGGTTTTAGGCTGTGTTTTCGCCAAGTCAGCCAGTCACAGAGTATTCCCGTGTTCATTCACTGGCCTGATCCGTGGCAGAAGCAGCTCCACCCTGCCTTCCCCCAGTTCCAACTGTGGTGCTGCAGCGGGATTTGGTTTGAATCTGGGCAGAGGCCCCCTTTTATGAGCTGCCCTCCAGATTCCGTTACAGCAAGAGTCTGAAAGCGATCCTTGCCTTCCCGTTGCACACAAAGGCAGGGAGCTCTTTAAGTGAACTAGCTGCCTGCTCCTCCGTGCGCTGCAAGCCAGTGCTCCTGGGGGGCTCAGCGACCCAAGCTTTTCCCTGAAAATGAGTGGGAAGGGGTCTTGAGGAGCTCCCACGACATCCCGGAGTGGGGCAGGGAGGAAGCTGAAAGCCAGAGTGGATGGCGACCACCGGTCCCCGGGGACCGGGCTCCGATTAGCTGCTCCTCGGTATGCTCAGCGCGCAGGCAGAGCATCCTGCCAGTGGTCCAGAGGCTGCTGGCGGCGCATCTTGCGGTATGCCTGCGTGGATCTGAGCCATCGCCCAGAGGCGAGCCCGCATTCAGACACGGCGGACAGGCTTCCGGCCGGGCTGCGCGCAGACAGCACGAATGCTCAGCTCTAGGCGTCTGCGAAAGCCTCCCGACTGCACGGATTTGGCCGTGTAATCAGCCGAGACCGCTGCCCGGCAAGATTGGCGAGCCTGATCCGCGCTCCAGCGGCCGTGACAACTTCGGGGCTGGCCGCGGACTTCGTGGGTGCCCGGGGCTCTGCCCTGCACTGCAGCCGCTCTGCCGCTTCCCGGGACCTGAAGTCGGCCGCGAGGGCTCCTCCGACGGCATCCCCAGGAAGGGGGGTGGGACAAGGAGGGGTTAAAAGACGAGCAGAAACCCACCCAACTACTCAACCTCTCGTGACTGCCTGTGTGCTGGGGTTCTGAGAGGGACCGAGCGCTGCCCGGGGAAGCAATGCAAGTCTCCATAGCCTGCACAGAGCACAATTTGAAGAGTCGGAATGGTGAGGACCGACTTCTGAGCAAGCAGAGCTCCACCGCCCCCAATGTGGTGAACGCAGCCCGGGCCAAATTCCGCACGGTCGCTATCATCGCGCGCAGCCTGGGGACGTTCACCCCTCAGCACCACATTTCTCTCAAAGAGTCCACCGCAAAGCAGACTGGCATGAAATATAGGTATGGATGTAAGATTCCCTCTGCCCGGGGTTTCCGTGGTCTGCACAGGTGCAGTGGAGAGACAGTTCCTCCGGTTTGCAAAGTGACTTATTTATCGGTGGGTCGCTTAATTTAGAATTATCAGGTACCTCTGAAATAGCTTCTTAGGAGGGTTGGTTGTGATGGGTTGGGTGTGGATAGGATTTTTTTTTTTTTTTTTTTTTTGAATGCGGCCCTTTGTGTATATTCTAAAGTGTGAGGAACACCCTGGGAGCTGTATGCATTCCAGTCTGCAGAGAAAGATGCAACTGCTGGAAACTGCTATTGAGATCAGGGTAGCTTTTCAAGAGCATGTGGCTGTCCTATTTTATGGTGCAGATTGTAGTTTCTGTGATTATACTATTAAAAATAGTTTCCTACCTAGGACTGCATTCTTACTTATCTTTGGAAAGACCAAGGTAACAAATGGTATGCAAGCTTTTGAGGAAGTTTTCCTGGAGTGAGAAACACCCTATAATGGCAAATTAGAGTGAACACTGACTTATTTAAATCTAAATTACTGCTGGAAATAAAATGTAGGCGTTGTTGGGAAGTATGGAGAAAAAAGTCAGTTGTTGTAACACTATAGTCTCTCCATAACATTTTAAAATCCTTCTTCCTCTGTTTTCTGTAGTTGAAAATCTTTATGGTAATAGTTGATGCTCTCTTAAATGGGGAGAATGACTTAAATTTGATAAGTAGAAAACCGAATTATTCAATTGTGTGGCTCCTGCCTCCTCATTATATCTACTTTGTACTAAGTTTCTCTGACTTTATTTCTTGAAAACTACCGTGCTTCTGATCTCTAGAAGAGTTTGCAGATATTGAGGAGAAACGCTAATGATGCATCTTCTAAAGGCTTTGGTTACTCGAGTTTGCAGATATGATTTTGTCAATGATTTACATTTAACTGTCCAGCCTTTTTCTTAGGAACCAGGTTCTAGGATAGAAGGAAATGAACGCAATTAAAATAAGGCACATCTAAGATTGTTTCCCATGTGGGATTTTTGAAATAAGCATTTAAACCAATTTCTATAAAACTTGCTCCTGAAAAAGTGTCTTTGCAGAGTTCCAGGAAAGCTTCTCATTACAAAAACTTCAAGCACTGTTGTTTTGATATATTTTTGATCCATTGTGAAAGCAAGCTGTGAGTGAGGCTAGGGGTAGGGGCACTAAAAGCCGTGGCTAAAGCTCTTTGCCCCAACCTCTGTGCAAGGCAAAGAGTCTGACTCTGGGCAGGTCCGGAAATATCAGCAGTGTGAGTATCTCTGCTTTTCTGAAAGTTCCCTGTTGAAGAGTGGGCCCCCACAGTGACAGTTTTCTCACTGAGGCTGCATTCTGGAGCGCACTGGCATTTTCGATTGCTGCTTCTGTGGCACACACCCAACCCCTGCCCCGTGGACACAGAGCTGCTCTGCTGCTCTGCATCCAACCCCACTGCTGAGGTGAAGAGAGCTGCTTGCTTCTTCTCTCTGCAGGGCCCCTTGAAACAACAGGACCCTTAGGGTTAAGGCCAATCAGAGAGGTGGTTTGAATTGTGGCCTCCAGCACCTTAGCAGCACTGTGAGATTTTTCTTCTTTTTAACCAGAAGAAATAAAAAGTAACCTCCCTCATTTCTTGTGGCAGAGATTCATGGTTGCTTGGGGATCATTGTACTGGAAGAGTTTGGTCTTATGAAGGCTTTTGGAGGCAGATTTTCATTAAAGGTTTTCTGGTAATGCTTAGAGTTCAGATCATATGGGACAATAATTATCTCTCTTTCCCAAAAGCCCAGTGTGCAAGTAAGATTTAGTAAGATTCACATGGGGATCTTTCATTACTGGTAACTAAGGAGAGCTCTCCTCTGGCGAAGTTAGCCACATGCAGTCTTCAGTATACTTTGAATTTAATATGCTATTTGTTGTTTATGGTGACTGGACCAGATACCTGGCCCCACTTCCCCTCTTATTCTGGACCTTTCTATCTATGACAGGATGGTGGTTTCGTGTGAGTGTGACTTAACCTCCCTTTTTCAAATTCCACTTGGAGTGACCTTCAAGAAAGAAATTATGAGATTATGCCAAATGTACACAAAAATTTTCTTAGTGTTGGAAAGAGGTGGGAGGAGAGACTGTGCACTTTATCAAAAATGATAGAGAGAGTTTTATCAGCTGAATTATCCTTTTCTTTGACACTGATGTCATGAAAATATAATGTGCATGTGTGGACTACTCATTAATGATAATAGCAAAAATAATGTCATAGAGTTGGGGAGGGAATTGGCTCGGGTATGCAATTAGGAGAATGTCTGAAGGAACTAGAATGGAAAGTCACTGAATACTTGTGTTTTTGATAATATTCTCATCCTTGAAAATGACTTCTGTAGGCGTAGCTTAATCTAGGATCCATAAACCCTATAGAACATCAAAATTATTATATTTTTGTGCATTTTTTGAGGAGAGAATTCATAGCTTCCATCAAAATTTGAAAAGCATCTACCACTCACAAATTGTCAAAGAGCAGTGTTGTAGAGTAAAGAGGTATTCATTTAGTCAACAAATATTTACCGAGCACCTATTCTGCACCAGGAACCTTAACAGAACTAAGTACACAAAGATATAGCAACCAGGCAAGGTTTGCGATTTACATTAAGGTTGGGAAAACAGACCATGAATAAGAACACAGATGAACAAATAATAATCTATTGTTATTCCTATAAAGGCTATATTTTGGGGATGATAGTCATTGTCTGAGCCAACTTAGTTTATCTATTTTGGGGCTACCGTCGCCGCTGTAGGTTCAGGGTTACAGTTGCATGTTGGGGCACAGGTAATGGTGTCCATATCTGCCACCTGTTTTTGCCACCCCAGGGACTTCTTCCAGGTTTCAACACTGCTTAAGGTGTTACCTGGCCTTTGAGGGCTTACTTACAACCCTGATAAATGAATACAATGCCTTCTATCATTGAATGCCTTATGATTTTTAAAGCTCACCTTATATTGTTATCTGTGATTACCATTCATTAATCAGGAACTCATGACTTTGGGATTTTAGAAATGCATATAGTTGTGTGAAGCATCTGAATTCTGCGAGGATAAAATGTTCAAAACCACTATTAAACTCACACTACCATTGTGCAAGAATCTTGCATAAAGTTAGCTATTGCTTTAAGGCTAAGGATGGAAAAAATTCCACTAGGACAATATGCTACTCAAATGATACTGTCACCTCAAAGAACAAGATTCTACTTAATGTTTATCCTGGGGACTATCCTGTATGCGAATAACAGAATTATTGCTTTACTTATAGTGTTTATACTTGTGCTTTATTAATGCATGAGAGTTTCTTTATCTTAATTTTATGTGTGTTTTTAATCTCAGACTTCATCACACTATGTTAGAATTTGATGTACAATCTGCATCCATACATGGTAGATGTTGACACATGCCTGAACTTTTTATCCTACGAAAGCCAAATCACTCAAACACAAGTTAAGCCAGGTTGGTCTGGTTGTTTTTGTTCGTTTGGTTGTCAGTGTTTTTTGTTTTTCTGAAACTTTTTAGAATGATCCAGCTGGTAGTGTTTGACACGGTCTCGGCACTTTTGTCACTCAGAATTGAGCACATTTATTCTGAGAAGCCACCTCCAATTCTATAATTGTTACCTTTGCTCTAGAGCATTTGAGTATTGATGAACCCAATTTCATCGAGAAGAATTTTATCTGTAACATAACATTCGTGTCAATATAACCTTGTGCTGTATAGTTACATAAAACATTCTTTGAAACTCTTATGAGAATTCTTTACCAGAAGAAATTTTTGCTTGAGTAACAATCTAAATTCCACTAAAAAACTTCTCTTTTTCCAATTTTCTGGGTTAATCACATTACCACTTTTTGTCGTCATTGAAAGAATTTTTGAAATGACTATAGAGTCACAGGAATTCACACACACACACACACACACACACACACACACACACACACACAGGCACGCACAGGGAATTTCTGCGTACTCCTAAGCCAGTTTTAGCTACTGGTCACATCTTACATAACTATAGTACAGCATCAAAACTAGTAAACTGACAGCGGTACAGTCCACAGCCTTTATTCATATTTTACCAGTTACACATATTTTTCATGTGTGCATATGTTTATATGTCTATGCAATTTTATCACATGCAGAAGTTTGTGTAACTAGCACCACCATAAAGACGCAGAATTCTTCCATCACCACAAACTACTTCTTTATAGCCACTAATCTGTAATTCATCTCTATAATTTTGTTGTTTCAAAAACATTATATAAATGGAATTATACAGTTTCTAAAATATTTTGGGATTGGCTTTTTTCCCCACTTAGCATAACTCTCTCAAGACCCATCCACATGCTGTATGTATCAATAATTCATTTCTTTTCAGTTTGAAGGAGTGTTCTATGGTGTGGATGTTCCACAGTGTTTTTTAACCATTCACCCACTGAAAGACAATAAGGTTGTTGTCATCATTACTTTAGGATGCATTAGAGACCATCAGATTATATAACCTTATTTCCAAATCCTTTCACTGCCCTTCAGTAGCTCAGGAGATAAAATTTAAATGACCTAACATGGCACCTGAGGTCCTTCAGCGTCTGACTTTCATCAAGCTGTCCAGGCACTGTATTTTGTTGTTTTCTGGTCTTACCTCCAACTTCATGCTTTATCAGAAGTACCTACTTGTGAAAGGACTGCTCATGGTGCCCTGACTCTTCCTGTTTCTTATGTCTCTGTGTCATTTTTCATGCTGGTCCTTCTGGCCTGGAATTCTCCTACCCGTCTTAATAAGTGAGGTAAACTCCTATGCATCCCCCAAGACCAGCTCTAGCATAATCTTCTCTGTGAAACCTTCCTTGGTTCCCCCCATATAACATTAAATATTTATTCTTTAATGCCCTCTCATCATCTGGTCCTTATTTTTGTTATGGAAATGATTGATTGCATAGTACTGCTATTATATATCTGCA